ATTTGACAGTAATTGTTGAAGTGGATGCCATTATTATGGCACTGCAAAACAAAACTGTAGAATTATTTTATCAATAAATATAATTACATGCTCATCAGGCCATGAGCTTATGTGCAATTAGTTCTCCATACCATAATGCAGTCCATAATGCCAATTTTTGCATGTTAGAGGATGCTGGACAGAAATGACACTTGCAGATCATAGTCACAGAATCACAGAATGGTTTGGGTTGGAAAGGACCTCGAGATCATCTAGTTCCAAACCCCCTGCCATTGGCAGAGATGCCTCACATTAGATCGTTATCACTCAAGGCTCTGTCCAACCTGGCTTTGAGCACTGCCAGGTATGGAGATAATGGCTATTTACAATCAAATGAGATTTTACAGCTCAAAGATTGTCTGTCACCATAAATCAAGAGTTCTAACATATAGAAATGCAAATAGCATCCTGTGACTTCAGTTACTTAAGCACCTAAATCCATCGCTCTTCTTTCAGTACTACACAAGATTGAGTAGCATGAAGTGAGAAGGGCTGTTACCATAAGTTACTCAAATATTAACACTGCTAAATGAAAATAAATGTGCATACACACACATACAAACATACATACTTCTACACACTTACTGCTAAGTGCGTGTAGCTAACATTCATCAACTCCCTACAACATTTATAAACTGACCCTAATATCACATTGTAATGCTGAACTTCTGGAGGAGGAAATTCAGACATGGAAGTCATGACAACCTTTCTAAGGTACTCACAGAATGAGAAACAGTACTTACATAAAGACTCCTATACTTCTGTTTAAAACACTGGCTAAAACCAAACCAAAGCACAATCCTATAAACATAAACATCATTACATTATCACAGTAACAGTTCTGCATCCATACATCAGTTTTACTCTTGGTTTATATGTATAAATATAAATGCATTGTACATACATATACAGACCTCTAGATAAGAAAAAAAAATCCAAAAATCATTTCACACAAAGGAAAATTCTTACGAGTAACAGTGGAATATTAGAGAGGTTTCTTTAATGGCATAACAAGTGGCTCATAAGCTTCTGTAATTACATATCTACTTTTAGTAGTGCCTCAACAGGTCCATGTCAGTTGTTGGTTACAATGGTACTGCAGTATCAAAGACAGCATGAGACAAAACCTGCAGTTAAGTCTGTTGGCAGAATAACAAAAATCTGATTTTCCAACAATAAATGGGAACAGAATCTAAACCCATCTTTGAGGTTCTTTGGGATAATGTCTTAAAGCAAAAAGTACGGTTTCTTGCCAATAAATTACACAGTAATTTTAGTTACTGTTTAGCATCTTAATGATATAAATTAGTAACACATACAAAATATATTTATATGCAGTGGATTTTAATCTATGTGCATGAAATGCAATTAATTTTACATTTGTAAGGACTTTATTATCACCACAGTATTTAGCTATTACTTTTTCATTTTTTAGACATACCTTTGTGTCACATCTTGAAAGAAGGCTCCATACTGCAACCTGCATTCCCACTGTCCACAGTGCTATTAAACACAGGCTTACTTTTAAATACATCCTAAAATGCAAACAAAATCAGTGGGATGTAAGTGCCTTCTTAAAGGTACCTAAATGAACATAATAAGTAAATGAAATGGAACAAATTCTAGAAGACTCCAAAGTGATTTCCAGTCAAGGCCATTGAAATGCCATTGAAATCCAGGCTTCAGGATGAATCTTAAATAAACATTAATTGACATGAAGCAGTTATTCTTCAAAATGTTTTCTCCTGCTGCACTCCATTCAGTAAAATAAAAGTTACTTGTAAGCACAGACACAAGCTAAATTTTAAATTAAAAAAATTAAAAATTGCTATTTAAACTAATACCTTTTTATTATATTTTCCTGAAGGAAAAAAAGTACAGTTAAATCAGAGTATAACAGCATAAACCCAATCCATTTATGACAAAATTTCTAATAATCATAAAGATACCATTTCAGATGTCAGAATTCTCTGAGGATACTTCAGGAAGCACAACTCAGCACTAATCACACCATTTGCAGTGAAAAAGAACTCCAGCCTTAAGTGTGGCTACTTTAGGTGGAAGGCAGAACAGAAGCTAGCTTCAGATGAGCTCCCTCCAAATCCACAGACCAGTTCTGGTTTGAATTCTGACTCCACACCCCGGCTCCTGGGAATACTGTGATGCTATCAGTGCCAGCGTCTCCCCACACTCCTGATGAGTTGGCTTTGCTTTTTGGGTGGTGGTGCAGAGAGAAGCCCCTTCCAGTTGTTTGCAAAGCCCCAAGGAATGCTCCTAAAACCATTTCTATTCTTTGCTACGGAAAACGGATGTGGGTCCTCAGTGCAGCAGTTCACAAGTACAACTGGTACTGACTAGAGGGCAATGCCAGCAGAAGCACAGTGGTGGCTTAGCACTGTGGCACAGTCCCAAAGGGACACAGCTTCAGGGCCAAGATTAGTCAAGGCACATTAACACAAACTAGAGGGAATAGAGCTGTATTGCTTTCAGCTCTAGAGCTGCCTCTCTCTCTCTTAATTCAGGCATCTTACCACAGTGCTCCATCAGATCACACCAGGATATATTAGTAGACACTCACATCACACCAGACCAACACTTAAAGAGACTAGATTTTTATTATCTCCATGAGAAGAGAAAGGGCAAATGCCTACAGGAATAGAGAGAATGATCATCCCTTCCTTTATAGTTGCACTCTTGAAGGTGTGATAGCCCCAATTTTGTAAGGGCAGCCTCCCATGCTGAAAAGGTCCTGCAGCACTGAATATAAACCAATCTGAATCCACAGAAGTATTAAAATTAGTTTGAACACATAAGGAGTTTAGTAGGCAACAAGATCCCAGGGAATTCTTTAATCAAAATATGTATTTTTTTTATTAAATTAAATGGGCGTCAAAACTTCAGTGTTCTAATAAACTCCTTAGGGCTCCAGCCAGTTTTATGTGTATAGGATGCAGAGCAATATTACGCCAAACATTGCCCAGACCAATCTTTTATAATCAATATAACCAATGAATCAACAATCAAAATCAATAATCAGAGTGAAATTCACCTAAAGTCACCTAATCTCCAAATCAAATTATTTAAAGAGACAAATCCCAACAGACCCAGCCCACTGATTGTTCACCCTACTGGGCCAGAGGTGAGTTTTGGGACAGGAGTCAGCTACAGAATAAACACCTAGCACTCACTAAGTCCCCAGACAGTAAGTTCACCCAGTAACAGCCCTCTTTTTCCCCCATAGTCAATAAGGGGAATGGTTAAGACATCTCAGGCATGACAACATTCTGAAACATTCCTTACTGACCATGCCATGGAGATCAATGAAAATTCAGCTTCTGTAAGAATATGGTCCATAACAAGACCACGCTCTCTGATTTGCATGGAAAATTTCAGATGCTGCTCTGCAGGGATAAAGGAATCTAAGCTGTGAATTCCATACCAGTGTTGGTTCTGTGCATCACCAAATGTTAAAGGCATTAACCCACAACTGTATCATTTCTCATTACTTTCACCGTTTTAAATACTTAATATATAACACTGTCAAATACAATTTCAACATTACTGAAGTAAAGGATTAAAAGGCTTGCTTCTTCAAGACACTATCAATTTATGTACAAGCTTTGTTTTGCATACAACAGCTAAGAATAGCAATGATTAACTTAAAAAAGAAGAAAAATGGATCATTCTGCCTGTTTTTCCAGCTACTTATTATCAGAGGTATGTCTGCACATCAAGTAGACAACATTTCACTTTTCTTTTGTGGTCTGCTGATGCTGGGAAACAAAAAAAAAAGAAAAAAAAAAGGACAGCATCATCACTAAAATTAAGAACCATGGAAACAGACAAGTGGGTTAGTTACATCTACATTTAATTTATTGTCATCTGTCTCGATTTCAGGTCAATGACATGCATCTTCAGGCATTACAGGCTGGTTTGCAGATTGGTCATCCACCATAAATAAAATCTGAGGCTGAAATCAATTGACCTGACATTTACCCTGTTCCACAGCCTAAACACGTAACAGTCCTTAGGGCTGAATTTTAAGGAGGCTTCAAAAGACAAAATGATAAGGGCTGATTAACAGTTACTAACAAGACAAGCCTGTGGGAATGTGAGTCATGAATGGGCCAGAAACATAGGCTTTTACCCAAGCTAAATTCTGATGTCATCATGCGAGCTACCAAAAAATACAGAAGCCAGGTTCTGAAGTAGCAACCTTCACTTTTAGATGACACAGAAAATTATCCACCCAAAAAGGACTCTTTATTTTTTTTTAGTATGTTTTAAAGGTGACTGGGACAAGGACACTGCATCTCTCATGCAAGGCAATACAGATTTCCTACTTTTACTGTAGAAAAATACAGTTCTTAAAAGTGGATGTTAAATTCATGTTGTGGTTTAAACCCAGTCAGGTAATTCGTTTGCTCACTTCCCCCCCCTTTCTTGCCCTCCCCCTGCTCTCGGAGGGACGGAGAGGAGAATTGAAAAGAATGCAACTCCCACGGGTTGAGATAAGAACAGTTTAGTAACTAAGGTATAACACAAATCACTACTGCTACCACCAGTGATAATAATGATAAAGGAAATAACAAGGGAAGAGAATACAACACCTCAGCACCAGCCAACCGATAACTTGCCACCCTCAGCCCGACCAAGCTCCGACCGATACCTCCTCCAACCCTGCAGTCTCCCAGCCCTTCCGGCTAACTCCCAGTTACATCCTGGGCATGACGTGCTGTGGTATGGAATACCTCTTTGGTCAGTTTGGGTCAGGTGTCCTGTCTCTGCTTCCTCCCAGCTTCCCCTCCTCCCTGGCAGAGCATGAGGCTCACAAAGTTCTTGGCCAAACCAAAACATCCTTGTTATCAGCTCTGTTCCCGAGCTGAAAGTCAAAACACTGCACTGCACCAGCTACCAAGAAGGAGAAACATGACTGCTACTGCTGAACCCAGGACAATTCAGCTGTATATATAGGAAGATTTTTGGATGCCTCTCTTAGTATAACATCTATTTGAAAGCAGACAGTTCACTTGGAACTTTAATTTTGCAAGACAAGCTAACCAAACTATCTTAAGTCATTATGGCCTTGGGAAAGCAGCCAAATCCTTTGGTGTCTTCGCTCCTTATCAAAGGCTAGAAATGAAAGTACCTTGCAAGACATTCAAGTCAAAACTCACTGCATGCCATGCTGTCATGTGCCCTCCTTGCTACTGAAGCACAGCTAGAGTCAGACAATCTCTGTGGCACAGATAAGTTCTACATGAAAGAGATTATTCCAGTGGTATCCAGCTCCTTCTGGCATTCAAATATAATGCTTGCTAAGAAACGTGAATATTCAGCAGGTCAGAGTCAGTTCAAAACATTCAGTCACCTTCAGATCCAACTGACCAGGAGGAACCACAAGGAATTTTAACGAACCAGCCAGTCAGGTAAAAAGCCACTCCTGCAAGTCCACGCAGTGGCATTTGGGTACTGAGTTTGGCCAGTGATCTTCAGCTTCCTTCAGGAGCCGTAAGTTGTTGCATCCAGGCAGACTGTGCAGCTGACAATGTACAGACCAGCAGTCAGTCCAGCAGGCAGCACACCATCACGTGCCACAGGTCAAGACCGGGCCACTGGCAGTCTTGGACTGCCCAGTAATAGGATTCCTTCCAGCTTGTCCAGAGCATTTACTTGGCACAAGTCCACAACTCTGGTCCCAACAACAAATTCATGCCTGAGTTTGATAGGAAGTTATCTGACTCAATCAATTGTAGTTTTTCTCCCCTCTGTCAGCATGAGGCTTTCTGAAGAATTTTCACTTCTGTTGCAGCCTCAACAGGTCATTTCTCTCTCATCAGATCCCAAGGTAAAATCTGCTGTACCTCTATTTACCTTACCCAGTTCCCCCCATTGTCAATTGAAATCCCAACAAGCCTTTTGATGTCTCTTAGTCCTCTTTTCTTGTGTCAGGAAACCTTCGGGACAGTTTATAATCTATGTAAGCACTAAGACAGGACCACAAAATGAACCGTATTAATATAATGACAACCAGTAAAATCATCAAAAGGGCTGATTCCATATTTAAGCTAGAATAATGAGGTAATGCAAAATAAAAAAATCTGGGAGGTCTAATTATATAAATGCAGTATTCAGTTCTGTGCGGCCAGCCCAGCAATTCCTGTAGCATTCCAACCAAAGTGATCTCACTAGCATGTGAGAGAAGAGTCCAGCTGACAGATTTGGGACATGTAACGTACTATTTAGTCAAGAGGCCCCATGTGCTATTCATAAAGAATTAACAACTCTTATATTGACAATGACAGTATTGTCAGAAGACCTTTGGAAGGGGAAAAAAACCCTCCATAAACTCATTCTCTGTGAAGTTGGACTTCTCTCTTCTCCTTTTTTTTTTTTGCCCCTTTTTTCCAGTGCTGATGTAATCTCCAAACATCTCCAGCAGCAGCTGCTTGGCGAAACCAGGCACCTTCTCCCCAGTCCCTTTCAGCAGCACACGCAGCACTTTCCAGCTCCCTCAAGACAATCAGGGCCTTTCTTTCACCAATTAGCTATCACTTCAAGAGCCCTGTGCTGTCCAACGAGCTCTGAAGAATGGTCTTTGCAGGAAACAACACTGGAGGAGCTGCTTTTTTTTTCCTAGACAAATTAAAAAGGGAAGAAGGGAGGGAGGGGGGAGATAAAAAAAGGCACAACAAATCAGAACATAGAAGCTGTCCAAAATCGCTCATTTAGTACATTGATAAATGCAGAAATGTCCTCAAGAGCCACTGCTGGAGCAAGGCGCACATAAAAAAATGCTCCTGCTTTCTTTAAGAGATAGTTTGTTTAGTTGAATATGTTAAACAGGTTTGATAGAAAGAAAGGCTTTTGTTACAGCAAGTCTCTGAGCTATAGAAATAAAAGGGAAAGAAACTCCTGTGAGATTCTGTTCTATTTCCTTATTTGGCTCTACAAGTGTTATTTAAAGTAGACATTATACGAAAGAACTCAGTGTACTTCACTTTAAATATAGATGGTCTGATGAAATGAGTAATTATCGGAACTGCTAAGATCTTTCTGAACACTTTTCGAACATACTCAATTAGCAAGCTCCTTTCCACAGAAACCACACTTTCCATCTAAAAAGAACTTAAAGCCTCTTTCAGAGAAAAAGCTCTGTGAATTTTGCATTCTTTTTCCTTTAAAATCAGGGAATAGGTACAGGAACACTTGGAGATCCTTGCTGAGGCCAAGTCCCTATTAGAACAAATTCAATCTCTAGGAACCAGTTCAAGAAGAAACCAAAGAACTTGTGTAGATGTTTGAACCTTTCCTGGACTTCATGAACTGGACCTGGGCAAGAGGAGTTGTGAAGACAAAAAATGTGAAGATGAGCACGAAGTGAAATGACTTGAACAAGGTCCAAGCAATACCACAGTGTCAGGACTGCTTTCCCAATTGTCAGAACTCTGCCTTGAACCAAAATGTCATGCCTAAATATTGAGTGTTAGTATTCTCTTACAGTACTATTTGCTGGTCAAATTTGTCCTGATTGGGTAACTTCACAAGATTACAACATGTTCTACAAGGGCAACACAAATAAATTTATATACATAAAAATTAATAGTCTGTTCCTTTTTATGACTGTGTATCAGAAGCAAAGATCCACGCATTGTAAACAGTTAAATGGCATGGCAAAGCAAATACTTTGAGGAGTTTCAGAAGTTTGTTCACATTAATGGGGGCTCTTAACTACTATGGGGATTTTTTTAATGGAGTTGAATTCACAACTGATCAGATTGCTTAAAAAGAAAGAAAGTGGGATGTATTACCCTAAGCGCATTTATGAAAGAATGTGAATGAACTCAAATTCTTCTGCACAAGAAGGCTCAACCAAAGGATGAGTACACACAATTGGGATTAAGAAGGAATCTTTGTGGAGGTGCACTGAACAATGAGTGTCTTTTTATACCTACAGACTTCAAAAGATGTTGAGTTTAAAGGGACTACTCCTTTCAACTAGCAAAGATGTTGCTGAAAAAATGCAGCAGGCAGGAGAGAACAAACATTTACACAGAGATGTTACTAGGGCCACCTCCAGTTACAGGAAAAAGGATGAAAGGGACCCAAAGGTCTACCAGCTTGCCCTGAAGCAAGATCAACTATGCCATTCCCGACAACTGTTTCTCTAACCTGCTTTTTTAAGAAACTTATATCCCCACAGGTGAGAAGAAAGGAAATCTTTACTTCATCTGAAAGGGATTCAAGAAGGAAAAACAGTTTGCCAAATTGTTTGGTGGCTTTATCTGTTACACTACAACCACTGTGAGCCCACAGCCAGGGGTTCTACTGTACATACTCACTTGGGCAGCTGGCTCATTCTGTAGCTGTAATTTTTTGGTTGAGGCAATGAGATCTGCTTTTTTCCAGAAAGCGCACACCTGTGCGTCTGTCTCCTCTGGATGGATGCGATTGCTATACCTGACAGTGCATCTTTTGTGGCAACCATCTTCCTTTACCCTGCTGCTGTCCTGCTGTCCACTCTCAAGCAGTCACTGACAACCACTGACAGGATTTTAGAATCAGGCAGGTTGGAAAAGACCTTTAAGATCATCAAGTCAAACCTTTACCCTAGGACTGCCAAGTCCACCGCTAAACCATGGCACTGAGGGCCTCATCTACATGGTGTGTTAACACCTCCAGGGACAGTGACTCCACCACTGCCCTGGGCAGCCTATTCCAATGCCTGAACACCCTCTCTGTGAAGAAATTGTTTGTAATAGCAAGTCTAAACCTCCCCTGGCACAACAACTTCCCCTGGCACAGTCAATGACAGTCCAATGGGACTGTCAGGTAACTCAGCACATCTTATGCCTTGGCCATCAGCTCCAGCTAAATCTGCTGGCAGTGAGAAGCCCAGTGGTTATTTAAGGGCACATGAAGTATGAATTGGGGGTTCACTCCAGTGCCAAGTGAACAGGTGCCTCCTCTCCAGCTCACAAGTGGTTCTCAGCTATGCCACCTCCAGCATTGCCCAAGAGGTGTCAAAGCCAGAACAGAAACTGGACAACCCTCACACCTGGTGCTTGGCTCTGCTTGGGACAGGCTGACAAAGCCGGGTAAGCTTCCACGATGGCTGCCTGCTCAATAGCAGGTTTATGGCTCCATATGCCACGGCTGTCAACTTGGCACTCTTCGTAGGTACTCCAGTTATTCACACAAAGGAATACTGCATTTCAGTTGCTGAAGATGGAAGGAGAGTGCTTTCCTGCTTAAATTTCACTTCTGAGGACAGATTTCCTCCCACAGAAAATGAATGGCACAGCATAAGAAAGACGAATCTACATGACAGATAAAAACACTAGGTGGCTAGAGTTTAAAAAATGCAGCTTGATATGGAGAGTTGCTCTTCCCTCTTTTGTGAGGTAGCTTGACAGTGAGTGAGAAAGAGCACTATGAAAGCCTAGATGTTGAAAATTATTATTTGGATTTCCCAAATTCTACTTCTTCACACAACAGATGTTCCTAATACCTGGCACTGCTTTTTCTGATTTGCCATTTTGAAGAATGAATGCTGTCTCACACATAAAAGCATCCTCTCTGTTCAGAGTTTATTTTGCTACAATCATTTTACAACTAATCATACCTCTAGAGAACAATGGCACGATAGAACAGTATTCCTGATGGGTGATATTTTATTACTAACATATGTTTTCATCGCGTAACCAACACTATTACTTCTGCTATAAATGTTTATTAACGTCCTTTCATTTGAAACTATGTCTGAGACAGATTCCATATTTTGCTTTTAAATTATCACATAATTGATTGCCCTGGTAATCAGTGCCCAATGAAGGGTAAAAAAAGATATTATGCATTCGTGCTGACCTTTAAAATGCAAGGCAACAGATTTCACATCTAATTTTCCAGTTCCAACTATAAAGCAGTCTATCTCCTAAAATATCACTCCATTCCTAAAATCTTAAAATTATCAAGTGAATTTACAAGCAACAAAGCAGACAATAACAATCACAAAACACCCTTATCATCAGTTGAAATATACCCCAAAGCATTATTATAAATTAGAGGTAAAAAACAGGCTATTTGACTTACTGTTTTTACCCCCCATTCAGAAGTCAGGATATCTACAAAAGAAAAACACAAAGAGTTGCAGGTGTTGGAATGGCTACTGAAGTTCTCAGTTCACTGCTAAGAAAAGGAGCAAAACCCAAGACCAGCACTTATCTCTCAGAATCACATGCCTCCTATAGTTATCAGGGTCAAAAAGGCACCTTGCTACAGTTTACATAGGTGAAAGCTCCTGAACAAGCAGTTCTAAGTCACATTGAAAACAAAATGCCACTTCAAAGAGGCCAAATCAATGTATTCTTACCTTTAGAGGACAAAATCTGGCAAAGTCAATCACTGTTTCAAATAACTTGTATTAATATGCACATATCAAGATCATTCAATGTTGCATTGAAACAAAGGAAAGCAAACACCTGCCTCACTGGTTTTCTACAGGAAAATCCCCAGCAAACATACTCCTCCCTCTACAGTCAGTTCCAAATGCCCACTGCCATGATCAAGAAAAAACAAGAACAGAAATAAGATACTTCATTTATTACAGATTCTTCTTTTAAGAATTACTTTAGTGTCCATAAAACCAGAAGCATTTGTAAAACTCTAGCTCACCCTCAAAGGCCTGACAGTCAAAAGTGAGATTTAAAGGCAAGAAAAGAACACAGATCATAGAAGAAACAATAATAAAAGTGAGAAAAGGACTAGGAGGAAATGGATTAAAACCTTACCAGTCTTAAAAGTGACTACCCGAGGACATCTGTATTTTAAACAAGACTTGATGAGACTTTCACTGTTACTGTTGCCACCTCCATACGTTGCTGCAGTGCTCAGCAGTAGGATCTTGCTTCCTTTTCACTGATAGGAATTTCTCACTAGGAGTGGGATCAGAACATGATCTACAAGTAGCAGAATAGACCACATGCATGCCATTATATTTAATCGCACTGATTAATTAAGAAGTGTATTCATGTCCAAAAAAAGTCCACCTAATGGTGAACAAACAGAAAAATACAAAAGTATTTAGCCACTCAAAGGAAAAAACAGCATAAATATTTAGAATTTATGTTTCCAAGTTCAGAATAGCTTATTATCAGGCAATTACTATATCCATTTCTCTCTTTAGCAGTCAGAGACCAACACAAGTTGCTAAGTCTTCACACTCAGCTGCATACCTTTTTGGTTGGAGAGAACCTCTGGAATTTTGCTGGCGAAATAAGGAATTCTCACTGAATGCTATCAGACATAACGGATCTAGCCCTAAACCATCCTTTCTCAGTGCTCTCATCAACGGGTTTTGGTTTGTTTTTTTTTCTCCCACTAAATTAACAGAATTTACATCAATCTACTAAAGATTATTTTTGACAAAACAGCATTTCAACCAAAATGCCAGTTTTTCAAAACTAGAAATATGGGAAAACATGCTCCAGCTCTGATGAAATATTTGCCAAGAGCTGCTTTTCAGACCCATAAAATTCAAGATCAGAACAAACCAGAAAGAAAGATCCAGCTCTTCAAAACATTATCCAGGCAAGGCACTCATGCAGCAAACCACAGCTTGAGTCTTTTGAGGAGTGCTGTGGCCACCTATTTTTGGCCTATTCCCAAATCTCTCATGACTTAAAAACCTTGCTTCCTTCTCACTGTGTATAGAACCAGACTGGGGCCTCAAACACAGGATGGAAAACCCAGTTCCCTCTCATCTGCAATGACATGTCTTTGGCAGATTAAGCCCTCACGGAAGAGGGCTGCTACATGCTGCATCTCCTCAAGCTCCGCTTGGACAATGCTCCTTCCATGCTCTACTAAGAAGAGATCAGATCAAAAATGTCTCTGGTCTACAGTTAAATTTGCTGTTTCTAGTCATTTGATTTGACAGCTTAAGCCACTATTGACAGAAATGAACAGTGACACAACCACCATTTCCACGCAAGGTCCAGCATGTGATAAACTTAACTATTAAATACAAGTTCAAGGGTAAAGTTTCATCTATATGTCATAGGCAAAATGTGCTCTGGCAAAATACAGACTTGAGGATGGTATCACACCACCCACAAAACTCAAAAAAACCCAACCTGTTTACTTTCTATCACTTATCAAGGATAACATTTCACATGCTGCACCGACACAGCTCCCAACCTCATTTTTCTCTTTCAAAATGCAATTAATTTCTTGAAAGGTATATTTGAAATATTTCTTATAAAGGTCTACTTGGAAATTAACAGATTTTTGGAAACTATGAAGATAGATGATCAAAAAATATGTCTGCATTCAGCAAGGTCCTTATTAAGTATGTGTGTAACTAGAAAAAAAAACCCTTAAGTTTATTTAAAACCATGCGAATAATAACGAATGATCAGACCTACTATTATCATACTAAATAAAAACAAACAAAAAAATGATGTGGGATTGCATGGTTTAGGCTTTATGCTTTGGCTTTGTCTCCTTACTCGTTTGCTTTCTTAAGTCTCCTTTTTGATAGCCACCCAACACCAGGTTTACAATAAGTACATGCTGCTCTGACTAGCTCTGATTTTGGAAGTTTCCATATTCCAGTCTGAACTTTGTATTAGAGGCTTTGTGGCCAGAGCAGAGTCAGGCATTCAGCAAACTATATTGTGTTTTGAACACGTTTTTCATTCTCCTAACAGGTCCTCCTGTTATTTTTCAAGTCTCTTTGCACACAAAAAGAAGGGGAGCTGAGGCAAACAAGGGAAGAAAAGAGTCCATTTGAAAAAATTACACTGCTAGATTACAAGAGTTGAAAGCTGGTATGTAACTTTGCTCCGGGTGATCAAACTGCTAATCAGGAATGCTGTCGGGAACAGAATGGAATTCCAAATAAATTAGCCATGTCCAAGAAGCCAATACAACACAGGATTAAGGCTCACAAAGAAAACAAATTTATTCAGCCTACTTTATCAGAATTCTTAATAACGTGTACTAGTTTTTCTCATCGCAGGCTGAGCTCTTCCACTGGAATAATGTGGAGAAGGAAAAATGAGTCACACTTCATAAATCTCCTACTTGTACAGACACCTAAAAATGTTATATAGCGCGAGACACACAATACCTTTATATAGAGATACATATGCACACCAGAGCTGCACGAGAAATGCGCATATTTATATCTCCAAATTTATTAACAAGGCACCTGACTGAAGAAAAGACACTACACAGTTGTGTGAAAATCCACAAAGTTGAAGAAAAAAGATTAGAACTGTATTTATTGCCACAACAAAACAAGCTTTGACACCATAGTACATAAACCATTGAATTAAATCACCAACTATGAAAATAAATCTCTCTCCTGCCTGAGCATCACTTTTTTATTAAGAATCAAGAGAAAAAAATGCCCACACAGTGCAGTGAGAAATACTATAGAAAAGGTACTGTCTGCAACTCAAATGCATATTCTATTTTGGCCACTGACAGCACCTCAAAGAAACATTTCAGAATGGTTTGTGCCAAAATCACAAGAACACTGAAATATGGGCTTCAGTTTTTGATTTTCCTTGAATTGGGATTTTAACCTTTATCAGACTGGTCCTTCTTATTGACAAAATAGAAATGCCAATGGGCTTTTTATCTATACAGGAAATTGAAGACAGAACTAGGTTTTTTGGAGCAGTTTTGTAAAAATCAAAAAATAAGTATTTGAAGGTTGGACTAGATGAGCTTTGAAGTTCCCTTCCAACCCAAACCATTCTGTGTTTCTATGGTTCTATTAAAAAAAAAAAAAGAAAAAAGGAGATAAAGTATTCACAGAAAGTGCTTCATGCAGAATCTAGGCACATTCTGAAAAAACAAACAAAAAAAAAAAAACAAAAAAAAAAACACTAAAAAAACAACAAACCAACCCAAACAGGTAAGTCATAAACATATTCTAAATTTCAAGCCATGTATTATCTAGTACACTTATTCACTGCAAGAGACTGAAAACCCCTTGCATGTCCATGCCTCTGCCATCTTACCTTGCAAATCCATGCATGTGCACACATGGATTTCCTGTAATAAAATTCATCAAGTAAACCACAAGTTGAACATGAGTGTTTAGGATTAATTTATCTGGTGGTTTCCAGACATGGCATTGCCCTGCTTTCCTGATGACCAAACTGCAAAACCAATTTGATATACATGGTTAGGTTGTCAGGTATTTTCTAAAGGCATTGTTGTCCCAGAGAAGGGGGACTCCTCTTGAGACACCACTTGCGTCCCCTCCCTTTCCCATACTGAAACAACCTAAAAATTATTTACTGTCATACATCATAATCATAGAATGGTTTGGGTTGGAAGGGTCCTTAAAGCTCATCCAGTTCCAACCCCTTGTCGTGCGCAGGGACGCCTTCCACTAGACCAAGTTGCTCCAAGCTCTGTCCAACCTGGACTTGAACACTGTCAGGAAAGCTTCTCTGGGCAGCCTGTGCCAGCGCCTTACCAACCTCACAGTGAAGAATTTCTGACTAAAATCTCATCTCAATCTCCCCTCTGTCAGGTTAAAGCCATTCCTCCCCTTGTCCTGTCACTACATGCCCTTGCCAAAAGTACCCCATCACTGTATTTACTGTCTTACTCAAGCACAAAAGTACATACTTCTACCAAGTGTGACTTAGGGTAAGATATTTTTTTTGCCTCACTGTAAGAAGATAATTGGACAAATGGAAAGAAAAGCACGTACCCCTCAAATCACCTTCTCTGGAAATGCACCTTCAGCGAGTGAGGGTCAAATGATGCTGCACCATCAAGGCGTGTGACTGGAAGGGTTCTTTCCATTACAGGCACATAAATAACCACTGGATTTGAGTGAAATATTTTAGGGGGAAATATAAATTATGTTGTTTTCTCAGGAAAAGAAACAAGAAAGCAACAAGCACAAACAAAATTTTCCATGAAGCCCAAGGTAAAGTGTTCATTCTAATTTTCAAGTCTCTTTAAATAGGAAATAGATTCATGTTATTAACTACTGAAAGAAATGTTTTGATCTTCAGAGCAGCAGAAAAGACATTTTTCCAGCTAAGCTTTGGTATACATACATAAATAGATTCAAATCACTGGAGATGGCAATAGAGGCAAATGAACTAAAAAAATGTTTAAATGGTCTAAAAGACATTACCCTGATCTACCTTGATGTGCCAAACAGTGCTGTATAAACCTGCATTAACTGCCGATTCATGCGCTCAACATAAGCATACATGCAAGTGCTTGGAGAACTGGAGTGGATTTCTGCATTTCCAGGCTATAGACACTGGATTTGTGATGGAAGAAAGGAGGATGCTCACTGGCAATGAGCAGCGCTGCTCCACTCCTCGCTCTTGGCTGACCGTGGTCTGGGTTACCACATGAAATCTTTGACTCGCCAAAACCATGTCATAAATTGTAGTTTGATCAGCAAGTGCAATCCTTTTGTACCCTAAAACCAGGATGCTTGGATTGCATTGGAGATTTGGGGGTTTCTTCTTTTAAAAACCACTGAAAATAAAGCAAGGAGGTGAAAGGTAACTGTATCACTTCACAGACACAAGCTACCCTCTGATTACAACTACTTAAGATATTCAGCCTTAAAACAATAGCTTTTTTTAATCAATGAACTCAGACGGCATTCACAGCTATTTGCGATGACAAATGCCCTTTGAAAGAGTTAATAGGCAAAGGTTTGTCCTGGCAATGAATAGGGCTACCTTTAATTGATCCAAGAGCCTTAGAGAGCCGTCTTCTAGCATGATGATGTATTTGGGTTGCAAATAGGCCAAAAAAAAGCATAAAGAAAATCTGTAAGACCATGAGACCTTTCATTTTTTCGTTTGCAGGGAGGGAAGGGGAGGAGGGAACTGCTGGGGAAAATGAGAGAACTAAGCTGGGATTATCTTTGTGCTCTGGCACTTAAAACAGATAAAACGACAGAAAATTTGAGGAAAAAAGAGAGGAAGTGATCAGCCCATATTTCTAAGAACAGACGTCAGGATCCAAGAAAACATATAGAACAAGGCTTTTCTTCAGACAAATAATTAAATAAATAAAGAGGAGATGACCTAATGGAATAAAGAAACATTGATTAAAGAAATACCCCAAGGGAGAAAGTTATTCCATCAGCTTTAACAAACACTGCATAGCCCTACACTCCCTCTAAACTTCTTAAGTGAGGAGCACGGGGAAATCTGTAGAAGAGGCAGTCACATGGATCCATTTATAGTTTTTCCCCTCAGTCTTTGTTCAGCTTTTACATGGTCTTATTCAAGATGCACAGGAAATTTGTACACAAGAAATGGCTC